GAGGGTATGCGACGGTCTCGGTCGGAGCTAGAGGCCTCAAGTCGGTCTGCCCTGGGGCCCAAGCGAGTCTGATAGACCCTGGCCGCAAAAACACCCGCGCTGTTTTAAGGTCGAAACATCCCAATCGCGCCTTTAAGCTTGGCCCCTGGAAGTCGCCTGGGGAGCGGGCTCGGGAGGTCTTTGGGGGTTTGGACGGCGGCCCAGGGGTCCAGTGAAAGGGCCAGCGAAGTGCGGTGGTCCCTGGATTTGTACCTGACCCCATCTGCTCGGCAGACTGTCTGCAGGCGTTCGGTTTGAATGAAACTGAAGCCCGAGTGCTTGGGGCCAGGCTGCGGGAAAAGCAAAGGGTTGCCGCAGACTTGGCGTTTGAAGACGGCTAGCTGTTGTTGCCCTGGGGGGCCTTGTCGCTGGCCCCTGACAGGTCTTTGGCCTTCCTGTCAGGGTGACAAAAAGGTCCACTCCGATGGGCCCCCCTCGGGCGTTTTGTTTCAGCTGACTGTCGGATTTTTTCTCTTCCCCCCCCCTCGGTGGCGTGCGATCCTCCTCCTCCTCCTCCTCCTCCTCCTCCTCCTCCTCCCCTTCCTCCAGGTGGTTCCCCAGCGGAGCCCCGCGCAGCCGTTTCGCCCCGCGGCGGGCGCGGCCCGGTCCGCGATCACACACCGCCCCCAGAACCGAGGGAAGGCGCGAAGGCAGGTACCGCCGATGGCCGAAAGCGAGAGCTCGTGTGCGCCCCCGGGTTGGGGGAGGCGCCTAAACAGCAGCCGACGGCGCGCGTGGCGGCGCCTGTGCGTGGCAAAGTGCAGGCACACGGAGCTGGACTTCAGCTGGCTCCTCAGCGCGAAGTGGCAGTCCTGGGGGGCGAAGGTAGAGCCCGACGCCATCCGCTGCAACGCAGGGAGCGGAGCGGGCGAAGCAGCGACGACAGTCGAGGAGCCGCGGTGGGCCCTGCAGTGAATACAGGACTACGCGGAGAAGGGAAAGTATGGCAGGAAGGCCGCGGAGGCTAAGAAGGCAGAGGAGGCCAGGAAGGCCGAGGAGACAGGGCAGTGGCAGCGTCGTGCGGGGAGCTCGTGTGACAAGAACGGGCAAGAGGCAAAGCTGGAGCCCATCTATTCGCGCCACATTAATGGGAACTGCGAGTGCGAGAAGTGGGAGGCTACGATATCGCCAAAGCCCATCAGCTACAGCGCGAGAAGGGCGGGCAGTGGCAGCACCGAAACGGCGACGACTGCGCGCGCAAAAAGGACGGGCAGTGGCAGCCTCAGACGGACAGGCGGCGGTCGCTTCTAGCGGGCGGGCAGCGGCAGCCGAACGTGGTCGGGCCTCTTGCGTGCGAGAAGAGCGGGCAGGAACGACCCTGCGAGAAGCGCGGGCCGAGGCAGCCTCAAGAAGTCGGATCCCGCGTGCGCGAGAAGGACGGGCAGCGGCAGCCGCAAGCGCGGAGGAGGCCAGGGCGGCCGACAGAGGAGGGTGCTGTTTTCACTTCTAGCAGGGGCCAGGGTTTGTGAGAAACGCGGGCAGTGGCAGCCTCGAGCATGCGAGAAGCACTGGCAGTGGCAGCCTCAGGTGGACGGACAGTGGCAGCCTTCGGCGGACGGGCGGTGGACGCCTCACGAAGACAGACATTGCGCGCGCGAGAAAGGCGAGCAGCGCGGGAGGGACGGGCCGTGGCAGCAGAAGGCGAATAACGAGCCTGGGAACAGCGCGTGCGAGAAGTGAGAGGCGAAGGTGGAGCCCGACACCATCAGCTACAGCGTTGGGACCAGGTCGCGCGAGAAGGGGCAGGCGAAGCTCGAGCCCAAATATTGCCAGCTACAGCGTCGGGGCCAGGGCGTGCGAGAAGGGGCAGGCGAAGCTCGAGCCCAATATCGTCGGCGACAGCGCTGGGAGCAGCGCGCGCGAGAAGTAGGGGGCGAAGGTAGTGCCCGACACCATCAGTTACAGCGTTGGGACCAGGACGTGCGAGAAGGGGCAGGCGACGCTAGAGCCCAATATCGTCATTTCCAGCGCTGGGAGCAGCGCGTGCGAGACGGGCGCCAGAGAGGGGCCAGCCAGGCGACGTGGGCAGCACGGCGTGTCATTGCCAGCATGAGGCTGCCGTGCCAGTCGAAGCCCACGCGCGAGGCTGAGGCATAGCAGCAGCGGAGGGTGCTGCACAGGCCGCGCATCACGGCCCGCGCAAAACGCAGGGACGCAGGGCTCGCGAGGGAAGGGAGCGCCCAGCCAAACGTTGAGACGCGCAGCGCCAGGGAGCGGGTGCGGCAAGCGGCAGGGCTCTTTGCTACTATCCCTCCACACCCCGCCGCTGCCGTGGAGCCTACCCTCGGCGAGGGCAGTGGCAGCCGTCTGCGGACGCTTCCAGCTCGTGCGAGAAGGCCGCTGCGAGGGCAGTGGCAGCCTCCGTGCGAGGAGGGGCGCCCGAGAGGGCGCGGACTGGCAGCGGCCGCCCTGCAAGGGCATAGTGGCTGCCTGCGCGAGAAGGGCCGTCGCCAGTGGGACAGGCCCGCGCGAGTCGCGGTGTCCGCAAGCGAGGGCGTGGCCGCGGGACCGCGGCGTGCCCCCCTTTCCCGCACCCCTCCGCCGCGCGACCCCGGTCGCTTCGGGAAGTGTATTCGAAGTGTATCCGCCTTCTCCTCCTCCTCCTCCTCCTCCTCCTCCTCCTCCTCCTCCTCCTCCTCCTCCTCCTCCTCTCCTCCTCTTCCTTCTACTATTACTGTTCCTCCTCGCCCCCCTTCTCCTCCTCCTCCTCCTCCTCCTCCTCCTCCTCCTCCTCCTCCTCCTCCTCCTCCTCCTCCTCCTCCTCCTCCTGGGGGGGAGGTTTCGCGTTCGAGTTTCAAGGTTTCCGGATGTTTCCGCGGATTCTCGGCAGCTTTCCAGCCTTGGGGCGTTCTCCAGCAGCTGCACCTCGCCGAGGGCGTTCCAGGGGTGCCCGCGTCGCCCCGAACGGCGGCCAGAAACCCGTGATCCGAAGACCACGGGGCAACGTCAGGGGGGAAAGGCTCAGGGGGGACATGCCGATCCCCACCTATTCGCTCATCGACCTGCCAAAAAAATATCCGGTCGAAATATTTCCGCGACCCGAACAATGCGGGGTTGGCATTGCCCGAATGGGATTGGGGCCCGATGGGGAAAGGACACCCCCGCGCCCCGGTAGGCGGGCTCCGCCGATGGAAGCAGCCCGGAGAGCCCCGCAATTGGGGCCAGCCGTTACACGCCGGAGGGGCGCCTTGGACTAGCGCAGGAGCTCGGCGGCCCCTGTCGCCCCCCCGAGCCGGTCCCCCCCAACGTTCCCCGTTGGGCCCTTCCCCGCCGTAGCTTCAGGAGGTCTTTAGTTTTGGATCCCCTTCCCTGTTTCTCTGAGCGGGGAATAACTCGCCCTTTCTCCTCCTCCTCCTCTTCCTCCTCCTCCTCCTCTTTTCCCATCCTTGTCGTCGTCGTTGTCGTCGCGGCGGAGATTGTTGTCCTGCTATCGTTGGGTGGGCTGGATTATGTTGTTTTTTCCCAGGGAATATATAACCCATTGTGGGCCAGCCTGCACGCGGGAAGACGTGCGAGCATCCTCTCGCGAGGATGACGATGCTAATCAGTGGTTGTGTATGTCGTTGTGGATGTAATTGTGATTGCAAACGTGTTTGTCGCGACCATATTCGCAATCGTCTCTGATTTTTAAAGAAGAAAATGAAAAACAAAGAAAACACACACAACAAAAAAACGTCGCGGGTCCGTTCCCTACCACTGTTCGCCGTGTTGGATCATGTCGGGGGTCGTACTCACAGCGAATACTGTTCTCTGGGCGACCTGGCATGACAGAGGATGTCGAGCACCTTCGTAAGAGAATTGCAATCAAGGTCGACACATTTTTCGTCGAGGGCGTTGCTCACAACCTCATCCTCCATCACAATATAAGTTTACATATTTGTCGGCGGCACCCGCGCATCGGGCGCCGGATTCGTTTTTTCTCCCAGTGAATGATTTTCTTTGGGCGACCTTGCGCGGATTGCAATATGGATCGACACATTCCCCGTTTCTGAGGCAGGGTTTTGCGTGAGAGCGTTTCTGAGGCATAAATAGTAGTAGTCGTTGCAGTCGTAGTCGCAATCGTAGTCGTAGTTGTCGTTGTTGTTGCGCGGCGGGTGCCGCGGAAAAAAATGATTAGTCACAATTTATTGGTAGGACCCCAGTCCTTCAATAAGGCCGCCACCCTCTGTTGCTGGGAGGGGTTGAATACATTTATAGTTGAACGTTCCTTTGGGCCAGTATTTGCGGGGCTAGGACAGGGATAAATTCGTTCCAGAGCGTGGAACCCTCAGAGGAGGTCGCGGCGCCTGACACATCCCCCAGAAAGAACCGCAGGGTCTCAGGGATTCTCGATTTACGACCCCTGTCCGATTTTGTCCCTGTCCTGGCTTTGTCTCACGATGTTCACGCTCAGCCGCTCCCCCCTGAGTCGATGCGTCCCCCCGTTTGGCTGGTCCCCCCCGTATCGTTTCCCCTCTGTTTTCCCCGCTTCAGCCGCCCCGCCCCAGTTTTGAGCGACGCAGAAGAATAACAGCAACCGGTTGGACTGCGCGGGCAGCGGGCGTTCCCGCGCGAGCTGCTTGCGTGAGGTCGCGCGTAAGCACCCTCCTTTCCCGTGTGTTGTGCCGCGCTGGCGGCCCGCGCGAGCCACGGCGTAAGATCGCCATGTGTTCTCGCGTAAGACGCGTTTCGTTTCGTCGCTCATGTGGCGTGCCGCGTTGGTGGTCCGCATGAAAAACCGCGTAAGGCCGCCACGCCATCATGCGTGAGACCCGCCTCTCTTCGTCTGGGTCTGCGCTTGCAGCAGGAGTACCCGCAAGCGGGGCTGGACTCGTTTTACTCTCCTCTCCTTGTTGCCTCCTCTCCCTGGTCAGCCATTGTCGGCAACCATGCTGCCAGGGCTCCACCATTCGCAGGGGAGCGTGCTTCGCGAGGACAGCAGTAGGTATCACTGGTTCCCCCCCCCCCCCACACTGTCCGAGGTACTGGGTCGAGCTTGTGGCGGACGCCACCATCGGCGTGTGGCTGGCGCATCGTGCGCTGCGGCTGTACCTGTGGGGGCTCAGGTCCCATCGCATTCCGCGAGGAGGAAAGGGAAGGATGATTCTGGGGCGGCCAAGAAGGGGTTGGTGATTAGAGGGGGGGTGGATAGCATGGCGGGGGCCATAACGTCTCCCCACATTTCATAGCGCCTCTTCTTAAATCAATGCGTCCCCTGGCCCCCCCTGGGCCGCGCACATGCTGCCGGCCATGATTTGTGCCCCCCCTCTAGGACGCCCCTCCTCTTGGACGTCCTCAAGATGATGGAAGTCTACGTTCGAAGCGTTTTGCGGCCCCACCGCCGAGCCAACCTCAAATCCTGGAACAGTTGGCCGTTCCGAGAGGGTCCGCAAGCGCACATGCACCAGCTTGTCGCTTGAATGAACTACCCCGACTGCTGCGCACAACCATTGCGAACTATTACGCTGGCGGGCTCAGTCATTGCATTACCAAAGTATGTTCTTTCATGGTCAGACAAATATTGCATGTTGGCACGCCAACTGTTTTGAATTGCTGCTGGCAATAACGACAAGGATAATTCCTGCATCGCAGAAATCAGCGATTGCACTTGTCGGGGGAAGAACAAGCGACACCATCACCGCCACCAGGGGGGGCATCTCCAGCGAGGAGGTCCACGACGATCCTTCTCCGAGCTGAGGATTGGGGATGTTTCGAGTGAGAAAGGGGGGGACCACACCACCAGGGGGGCCCCCCTTGGTTCCTTCCGCTGCTGGAGGTGGTGGTGTCGATTTCTTTGCTCGTATGTTGCACCCCAACCATTGCACCGGAGATTGCGCCATTGCAAGTGCCAGGGCCATGCCCGCGCTCATGGAGTGGAGCCCGCGGCGCCACACCACCCATGTCGCGCTCCTCGCGAAGGCTGGTCAGAGTCGATCCCAAGCAAAAACCCTTCCACAAATAATCCACAACCATGTAGTCAGCTTAGCTTTCTTATGAGTGTTCAGCGATGCGTCTTGAGAGAGAAAGAGTGCTCTAGTACCGATGTTGGTGTTACAGAAAGTGCGATGCGTTGCGATCCCGGCGCAGTCTTAGCTCTCGACTAGAATGGTCGCGATCCCTTTCTGGTTTCTGGGATTGGGAGGGAGAGGGAGGGGAGAGGAGGGAGATGAGCGCAGTGTGCGAAGGAAGGTTCGGGGAGGAGAGCAGGGAGGGAAGGAGAGGAGGGGGGGAGGATGGACGATGGAAGGGAGAGGGTGAGGGGGAGAGTACAAGCTGGGTACGCTCGACGCCACATCTGACATCCTACCCCTCTCGTCCATCCCTTCCCATTGCGCTGATGGTCTCTATATTCACCGACGCATGCCATAGCGGATCTGGAGTTCCAAAAAGGATTCCTATCGTGCCATGAGCAATCGGAAAAGGGAAGCTGCATGATGACCAAGGGAAGGCAGGGGGGGAGAAAAAGAGCGTGGCGACAACGACGAGGAAGCATTCGCATCCAGAAAGTGGCCCGCGCTGGGGCGAAAGCGCCACTCATGAACGATGGGAGCAGAGCGCCGATCCCAAAATGAGACCCACGCTGTAGCGGCAGCACCGTTTCAAATCAGCTCAAACGTTCCGATTCGACACAAGACAGGAAATGCAACGTTTGGGAAACACATGAGCGATCAAATGATGGAATATGGTGTGCTACATGCTACAGAAAGTGCGCGGAGAGGGGCGAGCGACTCCGCGGCCAGCTGCATGGGAGAGGTGAGAGTAGTTATGTAGTAAGCATACTTCGTAATTGTGGACGGGGGGAGAGGATTGGCGGCGAGCCCATGGGGGAAGTGAGAAGGGGCGGGTCTTCTCAGGCTCCAAAGGCCTCTGGCCTTCTGAGAAGGCTCTTGAGCTTTCTCCGAGAGCACAGAGAACTGCGCAGAAGGCCGGAGGGCTTCTTCGAAGCCCTGCAGCCTTCTGAGATGGCCTGCCCCTTCTCGGAGGAGGAGGAGGAGGAGGAGGAGCAGGAGGAGGAGGAGGAGGCTGAAGAGCCAGAGGAGCCAGAGGAAGAGGAGGAGGAGGAGGAGGAGGAGGAGGAGGAGGAGGTTGCGGAGCAGGAGGAGGAGGGAGGAGGAGGAAGAGAGCAGGAGGAGGTTGAGGAGCCAGAGGAGGAGGAGGAGGAGGAGGAGGAGGAGCAGGAGGAGGAGGGAGGTGGGAATGGAGAGAGGGAAGGCCAAGAGGGGGAGGCGGGCAGCGGCGTGGCAGGCGCCACCTCGGGCCGCGGGGTGCGGCCCGCGTGTGGTCCCTGTGCAGACCGGAGTACTTCGACGAGGATCGGGGGGCGCCCGGCAGCCTGGAGGATCAGGCCAGACGAAAGAGGGGGATAGGAGGATGGTGAGGACGAGGGGGGACGTTCGAGGAAGAAAAAACGCCAAAGGTGCATGTTTACGGCGTTGCTTCTGCTTCTAGACGTGGATATCATGGCCGGGGCTCTGACATCTACAAGATACTATGACCCCTCTCCCTTCTTCTGTCAACGCGTCCCGTGGCCCCCCTTCGTCCGGTCGGGCCGAACGAAAGGGGGGCATAGGGAAAGGGGGGGTCACGAAATCTGCTGCATGCGGCTGGTTTCAGCCCCACCGAGGGGCCCATTCCTCGATGCATGGCCGCCTCCGGCGCCGGGAGGCGCCAGGAAAATCAGCTACGTGAGCTGATTTCCCCCTTTTGCTATCCCCCTCTTTCGCCCGGCCCGAGAGGAGGAAGAGTCAGGCGATCGCAAGCATGGATTATCAAGCAGTGGCGAAGCGCCCTGGCTCGCTTATAGGCCTACCAAAGAATGTTCTAAGTTAAGGACCGTTTGTGGTTTCCACGAAATGTTCGTAGACCATTTCTGGCTGGGGCTTTCCTGTTTTAGCACATCGGGCTTATGTTCTAAGAACATTGTTTTTGTTCTGAGAACATTTCCGGGTTCTAAGAACATTTCGTGGTAGGCCTATAGGAATGCCGGGACGGTCGGTCCCTACTCAAGATGAAGGGGGCGTGGATCTCAAGTCGGGGCTTCTCGGAACCCAGGGTTCCGAGGATGTCTCAAGCGGAACGGGCCTGAGCACCTCGTGAATTGCATCTTCAACCTAAAGTTGCGAGGACGTTTCAGGCGAAACGGTCAGAGCCAGGGATTCCGAGGACGTCTCAGGCTACACATGCCCGGGTACCTCGCGAACCGCATCTCGGAACCCAGAGCGGTGAGCACGCCTCCAGCGAAACGGGCCAGAGCACTTCGATCCAGGGCATCTCTAAGCCTGGGGTTACAAGGATTTCTCAGGCGAAACGGGCCTGAGTACTCAGGCGATCGCAAACATGAATTAAGGGGGCGTGGATTAGCGACGGGTCTCGTTTCCATGGGAAGCCGCTGATTTCCGCCGCCGAGCGAGGCGGCACTGGCCGCATTCTGGGGAGGGCACCTCCCCCGATCCATGCATTTGGCGACCGCGCGCCAAATCCATGGATCGCAGAGTTACCCTGAAGTCGGGCGTGTCTCTCTACAGGACGAACACCCAAAAATAGTAAAAACACATAGTTTTGGGACGATCTTTGTTCGAATATGTTTTGGCTATGTTTGAGAATTCTCGGAGTCTGTTTGATTTCTGTTCGTCCAAAATCCGCCTGTAGGGAGACATGCCCGACCTAAAGGTACCCGGGGTTTCAAGAAACGTCCGGGGTACCCCCCGACGGGGGTCAACCTCGCCTCGTCGTCGCGCCACGACGGGGGTCGGAGCGCCTTCGGCGCGCGGTGGCTGCCCGCGACGGGGGTCGATGTGGAGCTGTCGGCGGGGGTGACGCCCCCCCGACGCCTATTAAGAAACTCGGAGCACCCTTCTCTCGTTTTCCCCCTTTTGGGCCTCCTGGAGGGCCCTCGCCGCCGCCGCTGGATTCGCCTCGAGATTCTGGTCCGCACGCCCCCCGGGAGAGGTCCGGGGAGGAGCGGCACCAGTGCCTCTTGGTCCTACCCAGGGCCCTTGCCGGGACAGCCCCGGGCCCGAGGTTGCTGGACGCACCTGCCCTGCCGAGGCTGGAGCTCGTGTGCACAGGTCGTGGGCTCGGGGTGAGCGCGGCCAGGGCCGGTGCCGGAGTGGGTCGGGCCGAACGAAAGAGGGATATCGGGAAAGGGGGGGTTACGACATCTGCCGCATGCAGCTGGTTTCGGCCCCACCGAGGAGCCCATTCCTCGATACATGGCCGCCTCCGGCGCCGGGAGGCGCCAGGAAAATCAGCTACGTGGGCTGATTCTCAAACCCCCCCTTTGCTATCCCCCCCTTTCGCCCAGCCCGAGTGGTATTAGTTGGTGTCCTCCCAGAGGAGGGGAAGCCCACCAGCGACATCTACGGCGTCTACGTGGAGCAGCTCGTGCTGTGGCTCCTGGATGAGTCGGTTTGACCCAAAAGAGGTCCAGCGACAAGGGGGTGGTGCAATAAGGTTTGGGGGGTTGCAACACATTTGGGTCGTGCAATACGTTCCGGGGTGCAGATGTATTGGTGGATATTCGCGTGCAGCGCATTACTTGCAATTCGATGCAACACAATTCTCTGGCGCAAAACATTTGCAAAACAATTGTCCCAAATCTTTTGCACCACCCCCTTTTAGCTGGACCCCCTTCTGGGTAACCCTAAGGATGGGGCGATGAGCAGGAATCAGGGGCAGCGGTCGGCGGGGGGGGATGCTCAGGTGGGGGACGCAGCGACTCCCAAACTTGCCCAGGGATCGCTGATACGGCTTCCGCGAGCCCAGCCCGCCCAGGAGCGTGCAGATTCGCTATCGGGGGCCCATCGCCGATCTATCAGCGATGTATCGCCGATTCCAGCTCGATGTTTCCCCCCCTGAGCTGCCCCCCACCCTCCAACGTTGCCCTCATATGAGCTTGCAGTTGCGGTCCACGTCGGCGGTCGCAGCAGGGCGCTTGTCGTCGAGGCCATGTGGGAGGGCGAGGACGAGGTGGGGCAAGGACCAATGGCCACGAGGGGTGGACAGGAGTTGCGTCACCAAATCGGTTCCCCCGGCCTCGAGGCCTCTGTCAGGTGGCGCACGTACTTAATTGGCCTCCAAGGTCCAAGGTCTTGTGAGATCGACGGCGGAGCACTGCGGTCAGGAGAGGGACGAAGCAGCTAGTTCGCTAGAACATCATCTAAACCTCATGTCCTTATACCATTTCGTCTTCAAAGTGCGTTCGCATGCGCTAGCGTCTGGTGATCGATCAGAGAGCGCTTGTTTAGCGTCGATTAGCTTCGGTAAGCGTCGACTCGCAGGAGCCAGCAGGATGGCACGGCTTGCTCCCATGAGTTGCCACAGGAAGCTGCAACTGCAATGTCCAGGCGGGCGCTCCCGTGGCCCGCCTGCCGCGCCGCGGCCTGCGGGCCGCCAGCGCCATCAGCCTCGCGCCTCTTCGAGAGCGGTTTCGCGGGAGGGGCCAGCGAGCAGAGGCATCGGGACTCAAGAGGGGGTCCATGCAAACGGGGGTCAGCCAGAGCGCAGGATCCTGCAGGGCAAGGGTCGCATTGACCTGGGCTTGGATGCAGGATCTTGCAGGATATTGCAGGATCCTTCGCATTGACCCCAGGTTTGGGTGAAGACTTTTGCAGCATCCTGCAGGATCCTGCAAGGGCCGACTGACCCGGGTCTGGATTGACCCAGGTCAGTACATCACCGAAGGCATCGGATGAATACGAAATCTTCCCCCAGGTCTAAAGGAGGGGGAAGAGGAGGAGGAGGAGGAGGAGGAGGAGGAGGAGGAGGAAGAGGAAGAGGGAGAGGGAGGGAGGGGTGAGGGAGGGAGGGGGGAAGGAGGGAGGGAGGGAGGGAGGAAGGGAGGGTTGGAGGGCGATCCATCGGAGAAGAACGAATTTCATAAACAGAACCTTTCGGAGCTCCTCGCGGATGTCTGGGATCGGCGCTCGGCCCCCCTAGCGGCGCCTCCGGCATCGCTCCTGGGCGCGCTCCCCGCGCGGATCTAAGAAAATCCGTGCAGATCCCTGGGCGTGGCATCGCTCCTGGGCGCGCTCTCAGGGAGGGGGCCCAGCGCGGATCCAAGAACATCCGTGCATATCTCCAGAAGTTTCTGCTTCTGCAGTGTTTTGTTCTTCCAAAAGACTGTTTGTTTTTAGGGTCGGGCGATCACCCGGGTTATCGGGCTTGCCTCCCCTCCCCCCCCCAGGATAATCTAACCTTGCCGGTTGTGCAGGTCCTCGGGAGGGGGGGCGCGGGCATATGCAGGGCTGCCCACAGCGCGAGGGTTAGGTTATTTGCCGGCCCCCTCCTTCCCCCCCCATCCCCAGGATAACCCGGGTTATCGCCGATTCAGAAAAAAACGGTCTCCAATCCAGTGATCTGAGAAGGAGACCTCCTTTCCGCCCCCCCCCTTACCCTCCCACTGCGGGATGGTGCCATCGTCGCGCTCAGGGACGGCCTGGGGAGGATACGCCTCCTCTCACTCAGAGTCAGGCGGCCTGACTCAGGCCGAGTCGGGAGCGCCCTTCCGTCCAGGACCTTCGGCCAGCGAGATCCCAGCTATGTCCCCACACATCCTTGTCCCCTCTCCCCTCGTTCTCCCGTACCCCTCCCTGCTGATCTTTACTGGCGTGTGCTGCTTGCGGTTAGTTGTTGCCGATCCTTGCTACTGTTCGGTGTTGGTGTTGGTGTTGGTGTTGGTGTTGTTGCTGCTGTTGTTGTCGGTAGTGTTGATGTTGTGGTTGGTGTTGTCGTTGGTGTGATTGGTGTTGCTGTTGTTGTCGTTGTTGTTGTTGTTGTTGTTGTTGTTGTTGTTGTTGTTGGTGTTGTTGTTGTTGTTGTTGTTGGTGTTGGTGTTGTTGTTGGTGTTGTTGTTGTTGTTGTTGTTGTTGTTGATGTTGTTGTTGTTGTTGTTGTTGTTGCTGTTGTTGTTGTTGTTGGTGTTGTTGTTGTTGTTGTTGTTGTTGTTTTTGTTTGTGTTGTTGTTGTTGTTGTTGTTGCTGATGTTATGGTTGTTGCTGTTGTTGTTGTTGTTGGTGGTGGTGGTGGTGGTGGTGGTTGTGGTGTTGGTATTGGTGTTGGTGTTGGTGTTGGTGTTGGTGTTGTTGCTGCTGCTGTTGTTGGTGGTGGTGTGGTTGCTGGTGTTGTTGCTGTTGCTGCTGTTGTTGTTGTCGTTGGTGCTGTTGCTGCTGCTGCTGTTGTTGGTGGTGGTGTTGTTTTTGGTGGTGTCGTTGCTGCTGTTGTTGTTGGTGGTGGTGTTGTTATTGCTGGCGTTGTTGCTGCTGTTGGTGTTGGTGTTGTGTGTGGTGTTGTTGCTGTTGTTGTTGTTGTTGTTGTTGTTGTTGTTGTTGTTGGCAACAAGGACACTGGGGACCCACGGGTTTCCCAACAGTGTCTTGAGACCGATCGTTTTGAAAGCCATTGCTGAACATCGTTGACTCCTGGCCAGGGGAGGGGCGATCGGTTTCGGAAGCTTCGAAAACAGTAGCGTGATCGCCCTCAGTCGCCGCCTCATGCTCTGTATCGTCGGCCACCAAACACTGCTATGTTCTATAAGTTCTATAACATCCGAAAGCGAAGGGCCACCAAACACTGCTATGCTCTATAAGTTTTATAATTTCTCTAATTCCTGCAACAATCCCAGGCGGTCTCGAATGGTTGCAGGAATTATATAAATTATAGAGCATAGCAGTGTTTGGTGGCCCTTCGCTGTCGGATGTTATAGAACTTAAAGAACCTAGCAATGTTTGGTGGCCGACGATACAGAGCATCCGGAGAAAGAGGAATGGAGAAGATGAGTGGGGCAACGAGAGCGGTTCCTCTTACGTAAACCCGTAGGTCCCCTTGACCCCTGCAGAAGAAAGGTGAGGTAGATCCTGGTGGAAGGGGGGGTGGCGTCCATATAGCTTGCCCCCCCATACCAAGATCTACCTCTCATTTTTTCCGCGTGATTTTATTTGGTTGTCTGAGCATCGTTTTGAGTGTGGATGCTTGGGGGACCTCCTCGGTGGGAACCATCGTGGGACCTGGTGTTCGGGCTGCGCATGCCCATTCGAGGTAAGGGCAAGAGGAGGAGGAGGAGGAGGAGAATACAATCTGGGTCTAATGCCCAACTCTTGGGGGTGCAATGCCCAATAGTCTGGGCGCAATGCCCACTGCGTCGGGTGCAATGCCCAATTCTTTCGGGTACAATGCCCGACCTTTCGGGTGCAATGCCCAACCCTTCGGGTGCAATGCCCAACTCTTTCGGGTGCAATGCCCGACCTCGGCGGGTCCGCACACGCGGACATGACCGCGCACGACGCACACTGGGCCGCCGCGTTCGACGGCGTGGGCGGCGCGCCGCCGCCCTTGCGCCCCGAGGCGCTGTCGCAGGACCTGCGGGACTGCGTCCGCCACAACTTACGCCGGCGCTTCGAGGCCATGCGCAACAATTAAATACACAAAACAAAAAAGAAACAAAGAAAAAAACAACTATGCGTTAGAAACACCAAGGCTACCACGGACCGCGCGGAGTACGACCAGCAGGTCGCTGCGGCTGTCGGGTACGGCGCAGCAGCGGTCGACACTTCCTCCAAGGGTGCGTGGCTGCGCCGCCTCGTGCAGATGTCGAAGGGCCAAACCGCCGCGTTGGGGCCCACGTGCGTCGCGGTCGCCACGGTGATCGGGCGCCAGCTAACCTACTTCAATATCGGGGACTGCGCGATGCAGGTGTTCCGCCCCAGCTCGATCTTAGGAACGTAGTTCGTGGAACCCAAGCACTACGTGGTCCACGTTCGCTACGTTGGGCTTTGTGGGCGAGGTGGCAAGGTGACCGTCGCCCCACTTCCAGTCCGCGTGGTGCCGCCTGGCACGGCGCCGCCGCCCGAGGCGCCGGGCGAGGTTCTCAAGCCGGGCACCATGAACAGACTGGCGAAGAAAAAGAAGCTGTTTCTCTTCTCCGACGGGGCGCTGGCATGGCCCAAGATCGTCGAGCAGCAGAACAAGGCAGGCTCCAACATCACGCTGTCGGCGGTGGTTCACCAGGAGCGGCAGTACACGAAATTCATTGCCAAGAAGAAGAGGGGGCAGTCCCGCTTGACTGGCACGCAAGCAATGGACACTGTGGAAGTACATGAAGGTGTACATCCCGCGGACTTTGAAGGCCGCCAAGGGTCGCGCCGTGAACCCGGACTTGCGCGCGTACGTCGCGTCGTGGCAGTGGAGGCAGAACGTGGCGTGCCCGGGCGCCGCGCTGTGGGAGAGCGTGGCCAGCCTGGTGAGGACGTCGTAAGTAGCTGCGCGCAGGCCCGCTTTGGGCCGAGCGCCGCCTAGAGCTCAGTAGCTAGTTGTGCTACGTCGGCGGGATCGCCGCTACAGGGGGGCGATAGCGGCGGGGGCGCGCTGCGCCCCGCGCAGCATCGTGGCGGCCGAGCGCTCGATCACAAAGATTGCCTGAAACGCTTGGGTTCAAATCTCCGTGGGCCCCCAGTGTCCGTGTTCCCTTGTTGTTGTTGCTGCTGCTGTTGCTGCTATTGTTGTTGTTGCTGCAATGCTGTTGAATGTTAAGCAAAAAGCAATCATTATTGATGGGCCGCCCCAGGCGCCCTGACGCCCTCGCCTTGGCGCCAGCTACATGTTCGTTGAACATTGGGCTCGAGCTTGAGCGATTAAGGGGGGCACCAACGCCAGCCCCCCCGACAACAACAACGTTCCCGCTCGAGAAATCCCTTGTTTTACTGAGAGCCCGTGCTCTTGCTCGCCGCCGAAAACCGCCGCCCTAACAAAACCAACGTTCCCGCTCGAGACTTCTTCCCGTTTTACCTTGCACTGGCGCGCCACTCTTTCTCTCATCGGCGCCGCCCCCAGCAAACACACCGCTCCCGCTCGAGAGTGGCGGTCGGGCTCGCCGCCGAAAGCCGTCGCCCCGACAAGACCAGCGCTCCCGCCCGAGACGCCCTCCCGCTTCACCATGGACAGGGGCCATATACTTTCTTTTGAATTGGCGCCGCCTCAGCAAGAACAGCGCTCCCGCTCGAGACCTCCTCGCGTTTTTCCTGAGGGCGGTGCTGTTCCTCGCCGCCGACAGCCCCCGCCCCAACAAAACCGCTGCTCTTGCTCGAGGCTTCCCCCGTTCTTTCTCAAGGCGGTGTTCTTCCTCGCCGCCGACAACCGCCGTCCCAACAAAACCAGCGCTCCCGCTCAAGACTTGTTTTTGTTTCAAGCTGGATTAGCGCCCTACTCTCTTCTGCAGTGGCGCCGCTCCCAGCAAAAGCAGCACCCCTGATCGAGACTTCGTCCCTTTCTATTCAGGGCCAGGTCCTTGCCTCGCCGCCGACAGCCCCCATCCCCACCAAGCCTGTCCTGTCGCTCGTTACTTCCTTGTGCTTTACCCTTGGCTGGACTTCCACAGGCGGTCTCGCATCGGCGCAGCAGGGCGCGAGCACGTGTTTTCGAGGCGGGACGTGTTGAAATTCCCCGGAGGAGGTGTTTGCAAGACCTCATTGGGCAGTTTATCTGGGAATGGGAATAACGGACCCCCGCGATAAAACAATAATCCCCCATGGTGGGGATGGTTACCATGATGGTCGCATGTTTCGTGTGGAAGCATCGCGCATGAGGGTAAAATCATTGTTGTTGTTGATGTTGTTGGTGGTGGGTTTGTTGTTGTTGCTTGTGTGTTTTGTTGCTGGTGTTGCTGCTGCTGTTGTTGTTGTTGGTTGTGGTGCTGCTGTTGGGTTCTCATGTCTAAGGAATAACCGATGGTTGTTGATCCCCCCCGGTAACCACTGTGTTTTTCAATTGAAATATTGTTCCCGGGGCTCGCACCCTGTAGTTTTACAGTGGGAAGTGGGGTGGCACCAAACCGTATCCCTGGCCCGCGGTTAATAACAACGGTTCCCGTTTGAGATGTCCGCACAACTCATTCCCCAAATCGCTCTCTCGCGCGGGACTGCCTCACATTTTATACAGGAATCGCACGCTCGCGTGGGACCTCCTCGCAATCATTCAGACGCCGCGCCCTCGTTGTTTTTGTTGATGTAATGGTTGTGGTTGTTGTTGTTGTTGTTGTTGTTGTTGTTGTTGTTGTTGTTGGTGTTGTTGTTTGTGTTGTTGTTGTTGTTGGTGTTGCTGTTGTTGTTGTTGTGCCAGTTGCTGTTAGTGTTGCTGTATGTGTTGTTGGTGGTGGTGCAGGTGTTGTTGTTGTTGGTGGTGTTTTTGATTTTGTTGTTGTTGTCGGAACCCCATTTCTAAATAATCATTGTTGTAGATCTCCCCTCGTCGGTAACCATTGCATGTTTACTTAAAATGCTTCTCCCGGGGCTCCCATTTTGTTTTTTCAACGAAAGTGGTGCGTCACCAAACCGTACCCCTGGCTCTCGATTTACAAAACAACAACGGCTCCCGCTTGAGATGTCCTCACTACTGATTCCCGAAATCGCGCTCTCGCGCTGGACTGTCTCACAATTTATACGGGAATTTCGCGCTCGCGAAGGACCTTGCATTGATTCAGACGCCGCGCCCTCGACGCTTAGGAATCACGCTCTCGCTGTGGATTTTCTCACGATTTATCCGTAAGGGCCTTGTCCCCTGCCGCTGGCCCCCCTCTCTTAGAATGGGATTCGCCAGAGCTGTGTTGGGACGTCTGGACGGTGACGTGAAGCAGTGTCGGTTACGAGGGTTTATGGTTCGGAAACGCGAGCATTGCATAATTGATTCGGGTGTATGGCCTCGGGGACGCAAAGAGTGCATACATTACCAGAGTGGTTGATGGCTTCGAACACGCACACGTTGCGTAGTTTACGATTGCTGATGGCTTCGAGAACGCGAGTATTATATAATGTGCGAGGGTTAATGGTTTCGGAGGCGCTGCTATTTGGTAAGTGACGAGGGTTCATGGCTCAGGGGACGCGAACAACGTGTAATTTACGCAAGTGTATGGCCTCGGGGACGCAAACATCATGTAATGTGCGAGGGTGTTATGGCTTCGGGAACGCAACCATCGTGTACTTGACGAGGGTTTGTGGTTTCGGGGACGCGCGCATGGCATACTTTCGAAGGTTCATGGCTTCGGGAACGCGAATATGCAGTACTTTCTTAGTGAATGATGGCCTCGGTGGCGCGAAATTCAGGTATTTTTACTGGTCCCACGCCCCCCCCCCCTCAGGAATTCAGACAACGCGATCTGGGCGTGGTAAAATGGCTGGTTTGGGGCTTCCCCCCCTCGCGCGTTCAGCAACAATTTACAGTAGGAAGCAGAATGAAGACTTGAATCTGGAGGCACAGTAGGAAGCAGAATGAAGACTTGAGTACAATTTACAATTTACAGTAGGAAGCACAGGAGGAATGTAACGTTGGAGACTTGAATCTGGAACTGGCACAGGGAGAGAGGAAGCCAAATCTTCGCAGCCTGATGGCCCCGCAAGGGGGCCAGCGGATTTGGAAATCGCGCCTTCGCCGGAGACTTCCTCAGATCCCGGGGCAGTTTTGGAGCCTCTTAGGGCCATCCTGAGGAGCGTTTCCTCTGGGCGTTTCTGGGGAGGGGTGGGGGCTCTCTTTGGCGAGCTGAGGCAGCTCCCGGTGCTCTCTTGGGTTGCCTGTGGCCTCTTAGGGGGATCTCTTCGTCCCAGTCGCGGGAGCATCTTCTTAGGCCTTGCAAGGCCATCATGAGGCCTCCGCCTCTTCCTCCGCCTCCTCCTCCGCCTCTTCCTCCGACTCCTCCTCGGCCTCCTCCTCCGCCTCCTCCTCCGCATCCTCCTCCTAGGGTGCAGGTAGGGCCAGAGCGCCACCTCGGCACCAGCGACACTCTCTCTGCGAAGTGAACACAGCTAGGCCATACTGAAAATTTAAACCCAGCTCAGCTCCTAGTCGAGGGGGAGTAGCACCGAACTGGCCCGAGAGCTCAATCGATCGATCGTTCCTCCTCCTCCGCTTCGTGGGGCCGCCCTCTCATCCCTGCCCCCGCCCCCTGGAGACGACCACGGCGGGGTCGAGTGAGGAGCACCACGGGCCCGGGCCGCGTCGGGAGCCGACCCCCTGGAGCTGCCCTGGGGGGCTTCCTGGCCAGGGTCTCGAGGCCTACAACTCGGGGGCGGCGATGAGGGTGAATAGCCCAGGGGAGATCCGTACACGTATCCAGGGGCGACCATGGTCTGCGCCTTCGGCGAGGCTCCCGGGCGAGTACGTGTATTGTTTCCCCCGTGGGCTGTTCGCCCCGACCGTCGCCTCCGAATAATGTACCCAGAAGGGTGGGAAAACATGTTCGTACCTAGGTGCTCGCCAATTGTTCATCAACGGTTCAGAAACATCTGTTCGCGTACTCCAAGGCCCCCACGGGCCTTGACCACGGACGCCCGGTCGAGGAGGGACAAAGATGTTCAGAACGAATTGTTCGTGAACAGTGCGGGTACAACTTTTCGCGAACAATGTTCAGGTCAGCCCTAGCACGTGTACCTATGCAACTACGAACAAACATCGAGACAGATGGAGGGCGATGCGTCTGAGGCCCGGCAGGCCTACGAGGTCCCAGAGCACTTCCCTCAGCAGTCAATCTGGCGGCACCGCGCCTGCTGCAACAGCGAGAAGGTGAGGCCTCGGCCCGGCGTCGCGTCGGCCCCGCCCGTGAGGCTCGTCGCGCTGACCACTGCGAAGCTCGTGCTGGCGTTCCTCATGATGTTCGAGGCGGCGCAAGCTGCGGCGCGCGCTCCCTCCGCAGGGGGCAGCTCTACGCGCCAGTCGTTGGAAGTGGGTGTGCTCGGAGATCCTGATCCAAAACGTCTCCTGCAAGCGCCTTCCTACTTCAAGAATCGGTATGTGTTTGTTGTTCTTGTTGTGCGTTGGGCGGGCACGAATCCAATCTACTTTATCCGGCTTCCTCCATGCTTCCACCGACCTCTTCCGACTGGCGGGTATACTTTCGTGCCTGACCAGGCCCATCCTTGACCCTACGCATCGGGCGGGGAATCGCGGCACCCCAGGTCCTGGAGGGGGCAGACGCCCTTGGCCGATGGACCACCAGGTTCTGAGGGCGCCCTCTTGCTGGGCCCCCCGAGTCCCAATAAGAAGCCTCGAGCCCTCTCCTCGTCCTGGGCGACCGTCAGGCCATTAGCCTCAGTCTACACCCTGCCCATGGCGAAGGCCCGTCGGGCCCCCGCTGCGCAGGAAGGTACCATCACGGTCTACTTCGCAACGGTCTACTTCGCAGGGGCCAAGTGCCCTTGGGACCAGGACCAATCGTGCCCAGAGCGTTCCAGTGGGAGGCCAGGACAAATCGCTCCAGAGCGCTCCAGGACGCCCTCGGAGCGTTTGAGGAGCCTTTCGCGCTGGACGGGCAGAGGCGCCCGATGCATATTCCAGAACCGCTGGGTCTCGGAGGTCCGCGACGAGTCGAGGTCCAGGTCTGTTTTGGTCCTGGCTGTGTCTTCGTATAGACTGCTCCAGAGCGCTCCGGAACGCTCATCGCGTTCCGGAGAGCTCGAAGGCCAGGGCGCCCGAGGCATCCTCGAGAGCCGCCTGATCTCAGAGATTCTCGGCTTATCCTCACCCGAATTTGTCCTCGTCCTGGCCTCGTCTGAAGAACACCTTGACCTCGAGCAGGAGGGCGTGTGCACCATGCAGGGGCCCCGGATTTCCCTTTTCTGGCACGGTGGTGGTGTGCAGATGCCCTCTGCGCGCAGTCGAGCCCGCCCTCCCTGCCTGTGCCGCGCCCCATGGGGGGGATCGATTTGTCAAAGTCGACTGGGCGGATCGCGGTAGGCGTCGATGCACGGGGGGGGGATGCCGAAGGCCACAGGAAAGGCGCCCCCTGGGGCACCGAACTCTCCCACAGCCGCATTCATCTTCCCCCCCCCATGGAGGTACGCCCGAGTCGAAGGGGAGCACAAATTCTTGCGAACCCCCACGGGCCCGATCCTTCTGCCTCTCGGCGCGGCGGCTCGCCCAGGGGGGGAGGTGAGATGTAGCTGGCCTTCTCAGAAGGCTCGGAAGGCCTCCAGCCTTCGGCGAAGTGTTCAGAGCCTCCCCCTAAGGCACTTAACTGTTTAGAAGGCCCGAGAGCTTCTGAGAAGCCCCGCCTCCTTCTGAGAGAGCCTTCTCCTCCTCACTTCCCCTCGCTCGCAGCCTACGTTGGGGGCTTTTGTCAAGGAATGTTCCCAGCAGGCCGCAGATCCCAGAGCATTCCTTATCTGAAGAGGGCGGCGGTGATATCCATGGCCAAGCCTCAATTGGTGTCCCACCAGCTCTCAGACCCTGGGTCATGTATCCAGGGTTCCTTAGGCAGTGGAGCAATTTCGCTTGTTCGTCCTGACAGTGCGAGGGTCAGTGCTCCCCTTCGCATCTGGACTCCATGAACAAGAAAGGACAAAACTGTTCCTTAATCGCTCAAGGTCTTTAGTATTGGTTCCCCCCCTTTGCCCTCGGCGGTGAAGAGGGCTGGTCCAAAAACCTCTCCCTCCTCCTCCTCCTCCTCCTCCTCCTCCTCCACATCCTCCTCCTCCTCATCCCTCCTCATCCTCCTCAGGCTTGGCACGAGGCAGAAGTAGTAGGAGTCCTCATCATAGTCGTAGTCGCAATCGTAGTCGTACTGTCGTCGTCGTTGCTGCGCGGCGGATGCCGCGGAACAATAAAGCATGGTTACCCCCTATTGGTGGGAGCCCAGTCCTTCAGTGAGGTCGCCGCGCAAAGAATGTTAGGTACCCCCTACTTGGGGGGGGGGGTCTAGAGTGGGAAGACCTCTCAGGGCAACCCGATGTCCTCACCGTTTCCTCTTTCATCCCGCCGGGGCCGAGGCCGTCCAGATCCACGCGCTCCTCCGCGCCACGCTGCTGCCGCTCTTCGCCCGGTCGGGCCACCGGGAGGCGCCGCCGGGGGAGCCCCCGGGCCACGGCGGGCGGGCCCCGGCTCCCGCCCTGCCGAAGCTTGGCGGGGCTCGAGAGACGGGGGTCATTGCAAGCGGGGGTCAGCCAGAGCGCGGGATCCTGCAGGATCCTGCAGCTCCAGGGTCGCATTGACCCGGGTCTGGGTGCAGGATCCTGCAGGATCTTGCAGGATCCTTCGCATTGACCCGGGCTTGGGCGCAGGATTTTGCAGGATTCAGCAAGGCCTGACTGACCCGGGTCTGGATTGACCCGGGTCAGAAGGTCCCCGAGCTTGGCGGGGGGGGAACGACGTGCGACTCTTCGTTCTGTCGGCGGCGCGCCCCAGAGTGGCGGGCAGATGTTTCCGGGGTTCGTTTCCGGGGTTCGAAGTTCGGCGTGCTCCCGCGTTTTCGTGGCTTCCCGGAGGTCTTCCGGGCCCGGGGTGCTTCCAAGCAGCTGCGCCTGGCCGAGAGCGCTTCGGGGGTGTCGGGATCGTCCCGAGCTGCCAGCGGAGGTCCGAGTTGGGAACCGACAGCCAGACTCGGCGGCGCGCCTACGGGGCGAAGGCAGAGGTGGCTGGCCTTCTCGGAGGGCGCAGAAGGCCGCTGAGAATCAGTATCGTTCAACCGACCCCCGTCCCCATCCCCATCCCGATCCCCTTCGAGACCCCCACCAAATTCCCCCCCCCAGTTGCGGATACACCCCTCGAAACCCGACGGGAACGGCCTATATCCCCATCTAGGGGGGTAGATCGGCCAGAGGGGCCCAGCCCACGGGGATCGGATGAACGATACTCAGAGAAGCTTCCCACGACGTCTTCTCAGAAGACGGGCGGCCTTCTGAGAAGCCCCGCCGCCTCTGAGAAGGCTTGCCCCACTCACTTCTTCCCTGGGTGGTGCGCCGAGTCTGACACGCACGCTGGCCTTCATGCGTTTGCATACGAAGGGCACGCTACAATGCGATGTGTACATGAGCGCTCTGTGCCGTGTCTCACCTTGCACGTCGCAGCTCGTGTTGAAGGGCTCCGTGTGGGATCGTTCTCGATTTCGGTGCCTCGACGCAGCCCGTCGTATCGTAGCGTTGATCGCGACTGTGGTGTCGCATCGCCGGCACAGTGAAGCAGTTTGAGTGTGGTCGCCGTCCCTCTCGCCCCTCTGCCCGCCTGTGGTCATTCTCGTCCCATGGTCAAGTCGGGCGTGTTCCTCTACAGGAGGAATACTCAAAAGTAATCAAAATTATTCGGGGGACGATCTTTTTAGACTAGTTTGGGGCATGTTTGTGCATGTTTGGGGTGTTCTTGATTTTTCGTCCACAATCCGCCTGTAGAGGGACACGCCCGACCGAGTCCCATGGGCATCCTCCGCTCGCTGTATTCTGCTGCCCGCACATCGCTGTGGCCGCCACGAGGCTGGGCGCGCCCGGCCGCTGAGGCAAGCAGTGAAAGAATGTGTTTGTGTGTGCGTGTGTGCGCGTGTGTGTGTGTGTGTGTGTGTGCGTGTGTGTCTAGGCCTCCCACATGGGGTGCGAGTAGATGGGGTCGGTGGATCGCTCCGCATCGCCGGTGCATCGACGATGCGGCTCGATGTGCAAACCGATTTTCTCCACGCCGGTGCCGCCGTTGAATCGCCGACGTCGCCGATGCATCGGCGATACATCGGCGATGCGGTGCAATCCTCCGATGTGATCGTTTTTGTTATTCATTATTTTGCCGATCGGCGCGGGCCTTCGAACCCCCCTTCCCCCCCCCTGGAGTGGATCTTGGCTGTTTTTGTCGCCTGTCTCGAGCAGGTGGAGCCCCTGCCCCATAGGACGCACTGTCGCAAACAGTCACACCAAGCAGACGTCCAGAGCCAGACCCACCCACCCCTCCCACCCCTCCCACCCAATATCGAAACGCCGAATAAAAATTATAGCCAGAGTGCAGTATCCCCAAACAGGGTTTTTAAACCCACTGCGGTTTCCAAGGTCGATTGCGTGCCCGTCCAGTGCGGGAGCCAGGCGGGATGCGGGAAGAGGGAGGCGGGAGAAGGATTGAGAGAGGTTGTGATTGGAGCCCTTGTGCTACGAAACGGCTCAGGCAGAACGGGCCAGACCATCTCGCCCGCAACATCTTCGAGCTTCGCATTGTGAGGATGGCTCAAGCGAAACGGGCGGGACCACCTCGCGAGCGACATCTTGGAGCTCAGTATTGGAAGGATGTCTCAAACGAAACCTGCCGGACAACCTCTCGCACACGTTCTGACACGTCCACGTCACATTCGCTTCTCGTTAGGTCCTTTCCTGCAACTCCCTTCCTTCTCCCTCCTCCTCCTCATCATTCTCCTCCTCCTCCTCCTCCTCCTCCTCCTCCTCCTCCTCCTCCCCCTCCTCCTGCCTGCTCCCTCATCCACATCCTCCTCCTCCTTCTCCCTTCCATCTCCTCCTCCTTCTCCTCATCCTACTCCTCCTCCTCCACCTCTTCATCCCGAACGGCATCTCGGAGCCCAGAGTTGCGAGGATGTTTCCAGCGTAACGGGCTGGACCACCTCGCGCGCGGCATCTCGGACACCAGAGTTGCGACGATGTCTCTGGCGAAACGTGCTGGGAGGAAGTCTCAGGCGAAACGGGCCCGACCATCTCGAGCGCGGCGTCTCAGAGCTCCGAGTTGCGAGGGCCTCCTGGGGCCTCCTGGGGACCTCCTGGGGCTTCTTCTTGGGGCTCCTGTGGCCTCCTTCCCAGGGGGGATATCTAACATGTGGCCGTCGGGCACAAGAGCAGGACAAATCAACGAATTGACACCGGATCTGTATTAACTTGACACGATCTGATGGGGGGCCTCCTGGGGCCTCCTGGGAGCCTCCTGGGAATCTCCTGGGGACCCCTGGGGCATGTCCTGGGCGTCCCGCGGCCTCCTGAAGCTCTGGGGCCTCCTGGGGCTCCCAGGGGCCCAGGGGGGATATATAACATGTGGTCTTCTGGGCCCCCGGGCTGGACCACCTCTTGCGCGGCATCTGGGAGCTCAGAGTTGCGAGAATGTCTTGTGCGAAACGGGCCAGACCACCTTGCGCACGGCATCTCAGAGCTCAGAGTTGCGAGGATGTCTCAGGCGAGAAAGGCAGGACCACCTCGCGCACGGCATCTCAGAGCTCAGAGTTGCGAGGATGTCTCAGGCGAAACGGGCTTGACCACGTCGCGCGCGGCATCTCCGAGGTCAGAGTTGCGAGGATGTCTCGGGCGAGATGGGCCCGACCACCTCTTGCGCGGCAGCTCAAAGCTCAGAGTTTCGAGGATGTCTCAGGCGAAACGGGCCAGACGACGTCGCGCGCGGTATCTCAGAGCTCAGAATTTCGAGAACGTCTTAGACGAAACGGGCTGGACCTCCTCTCGCGCGGCATCTCGGAATGCAAAAGTGCGAGGATGTCTCAAGTGAAACGGGCCAGATCACCTCTTGGGCGGCATCTCGGGGCTTAGAGTTTGGAGGAGGTCTCAAGCGAAACGGGCCGGACCACCTCTCGCGCGGCATCAGAGAGCGCAGAGTTGCGAAGAAGTCTCAGGCAAAAGGGGCCGGACCACCTCGCGCACGGCATATCAGGGCTCAGAGTTGCGAGGATGTCTCAGGCGAAACGGGCCGGACCACCTCTTGCGCGGCATCTCGGAGCCCAGAGTTTCGAGGATGTATCAGGCGAAACGGGCCAGACGACGTCGCGCGCGGCATCTCAGAGCTCAGAATTTCGAGAACGTCTTAGACGAAACGGGCTGGACCTCCTCTCGCGCGGCATCTCGGAATGCAAAAGTGCGAGGATGTCTCAAGTGAAACGGGCCAGATCACCTCTTGGGCGGCATCTCGGGGCTTAGAGTTTGGAGGAGGTCTCAAGCGAAACGGGCCGGACCACCTCTCGCGCGGCATCAGAGAGCGCAGAGTTGCGAAGAAGTCTCAGGCAAAAGGGGCCGGACCACCTCGCGCACGGCATATCAGGGCTCAGAGTTGCGAGGATGTCTCAGGAGAAACGGGCCAGACCACCTCTTGCGCGGCATCTCGGAGCCCAGAGTTACGAGGATGTCTCAGGCGAAATGGGCTGGACCACCTCTTGCGTGGCATCTCAGAACTCAGAGATGCGAGGATGTCTTAGGCGAAACGCGCCGGACCACCTCGCGCACGGCATCTCAGAGCTCAGAGTTTCGAGGATGTCTCAGGCGATACGGGCCAGACCACCTCGCGCGCGGCATCTGGGAGCTCTGAGTTTGGAGGATGTCTCAGGCGAAACGGGCCAGACCACCTCTCGCGCGGCATCTGGGAGCTCAGAGTTTCGAGGATGTCTCGGGCGAAACGCGCCGGACCACCTCGCAAGCGTCATCTCGGAGCCAGGAGTTGCGAGGATGTCTCAGGTGAAACGGGCCGGACCACCTCTCGCACGGCACCTCGGGGCTCAGAGTTTCGAGGATATCTCAAGCGAAACGGCCCGGACCACCTCTCGCGCGGCATCTGGGAGCTCAGAGTTTCGAGGATGTCTCAGGCGAAACGGCCAATCCTGGCCAACTCAGAAACGACAGTTGTGAGGATGTCTCAAGCGAAACGGCCCGAACCATCAGATTTTTGTGAGGATGTCTCTGCTCCCCTTCCCCGCGGCCGGAGTTAGTTTCTATCACAACAGCACCCCGTTCAGCTAGCTGTTAGGGGAAAAACGCTCACCTTGCTTTGCTCCCCTTGCCTTTGTTTTCGGGACGATCGCGAAATGGGTAACGGAAACAGTGCGTGCAAAGTCCAGCAGCAGATCTTGCTCATTCTGAACGGGGTTTGCTGTCAGCGAGGCCGCGGTCGTTGTCCATTTGAAAAAAGAGGCCACCCGCCCAACGGCGGCCGCTGCCGGTTTTGGACAACACTTGTTGTTGGCCATCGTCCCCATTTTTGTTCGTATCCATTTCTGGCGTCCGAATGTCTTGCTGGCCCCTTGTCGTCCTAGTTCTGGCGGGTTTGGGGCCTGTGCTGCATCGCGTGAGTGACTTCTCTCTTACCTGGCCTG